TTAGATACTAAGTCAGAGCCCAGGACACCAACTTTTTTTTCTTTTTGCCAGCTGTGTACATCAACACTGACAGGTACTTCTTTGTGGTGAGAACACAGGCTTCAGCCACTTGTAACAAGGCCACCAAGAGAACTGGTGGGGAATACGGAAATAAAGGGAAGCTGTGATTTTAGGACACAGCCGGTGTCTTCTGCCTGTGTTTGTCCTCTTAACTCCGATGCTTCATGCTGTTGGCCCACCAGCTGGCCACATGTTTAACATCTCACTCTCCACTATGTGACACCCGTGTGAGGAATGCCGAGTCCTTTGTTACTCATAAAAGCACAAGATATTCCTCGGACTATTAGCTGCATGATTGTGAGTCACTCCAAAGCCATCTGAGGTTTCTAACATTCATATTTCCTTCCTGTCATGCCTCTATGATAAGCACAACTTCATTTTTCCTAATTTGGGGAGGTGATTTGAGTGCTAGAGTAAAACGCACACACCCAGGGTGAATAATTCAACTCCTGAGTCAGCATGGAAACATCAAACCCTTTTTTTTTTTGTAGCCATTTAGCCAAGGACATCAAGGATTACAAATTGCCTGCATGTTGCCTCAAAAAACCCAGTTTGAAACACAAGAACTGCTTTAAAAATATTCAGAAAATAAGGCTCTCTCAAGGTGATTCATCAGCAAAAGTGTTAAATAAAACCAATCAATCTACGTCTGTATTTTGTTGAAATGGACTTAATTCATAAGATGCAGATGACTCCTATTTTCCAACACAGTTTGATCTTAAAACACAGAGCACCCATTACAGTGATTTGCACTCTTTTCACATAGGAAGCACACTTTATTGTGCTGAAAATTAAGAGACAATAGGCTTAATAGAGAGACATGTCTTGCATTGACTTTAGCACTAGTAGAAGTATTAAAAGTAGGAGTAGTTGTAGTACTAAGTGGTACCGTTTACAGAGCTTACAATATGCACACAACCAGAAGCATCTTCATGCTTCATGACAACATGACAGGCCGAGAGTCTGCTCAGTGTTTCCTCTGACAGCCTCCCCTCTCCTGTCCTGCCCTGGCATACTCTCCTCCGCTCTGCTGCGCGCCACAGTGTGGCTCCAGTGGAATGTGATGACAACAGACGGGACAAAGCCCCGCATTCATGGCCTTGCGTCCTACTCTGGAAGTCCGCGACCGGGAGCCTTAATCGCAGAGTGGGGGATGGCCAAAGTCCATCCACCTCTTGTCAGACACGCGCGGCCCTGCCCTCCTCCACCACATCAAGCGGCAAACAAAAGTTATGCTCCACATAAAGCGCTTTAGAAGTGGTAGAATTCACATTTTAACAGCAGGAACCCTGCGTTCACAATGCTGGACGGCTGTGCGAAACATTTCTAAGAAATACATTTTGTGTGTCAACATAATTTCAAACGTGGTCCGCTGCCTGACTGTCTGTCGAGCTCTCCTTCCTGTGTCTGAGTATTTGATGAAACATCCATTTGGCTGCTTTGTATATAGGTAACATAATGGAGCCCACAGAGCACTCTGTGCCTCAGAGGCTTTTCCACGAAACCTGCCTACGGCATAGTACAAACACCAAAGTTAGTTGCCATGCAACATCACACAAACATGCACATGTCATGCACACGTTTTAAATGAATGAAACTGCTATGCAACATGCAATATACATACTAATATATGTGCATGTACGCATGGATTTAGCTCCATTTGCAGAAATGGGCTGCTGACACTATATTTCATTCGTCTAATTGATTCAGCTCAGTCATTGTATCTCCATCTATCTCAATTCTCCATCAGACTCTGGAGAAATTAAATATACTGTTGGAGGAGGGGGTGTGGGATGACTCATCTTTAAGAATCCAACATGTAATCAAAATGGGGAGAATTTAATGTAAAGACTTTATAATGGTCCAATTGAAACGTTCATACTGAGATTGTTCAAGACTGAAGATGACAGCACAGTCTTTACTGGTAAAATATCATTTAGTCTGGAATTGTCTTTTAAATCCTTTTATTAAGTCATAATCCACCCATTCTAGGGGCTTTTTAGTGTATGTTAAAACAGGTTATGTAAACCTGTGTGTTTACTGGTAGCAAAGACTCTTTGGTTAACTGGAGAGCTCCTACCGTAGATGTATGGTGAGGTGAGGTTTGTCACGCCAACAAGAAACAAATAGCCGTCAATTCGCAGACAACTGCAGATGACCTAAGACGAGCCCGGGAGGCCCCTGTGATTTTCCCAGCTGGATGCTCCATCTGCTCAGCGGGGGACCTCAGTTTCTGTCATCAGATTTAACGGTTGGTTTCCTGTCCTGTGTAATGGTTCCTGGTGTGGCCACCTGCCTCACTGACAGCCCCATTTACAATTCATAGGAGGAAACTGATGCCAGTCTAATGGCCTCCATAGACAAGCAGAGACTAAACAGGAGTCTGTATTGTGTCAAAATATGTTGGGTAAACTGGTAACAATGTATGGAAAAGGCGAAGCTTTTTAATCATAGTAATGCGGAAAAACAGAGTGGGTCAACACAAAAAAAATGGTTGAGTACAGGGGAAAACTCCAACAGCCAGAGGAGGAAAGAGATAAATACAAGTTTTTATGGAGTGTATGGAAAACAATTCTGACCTCATCTTCTTGTATATTCTTACCTGATAAGATTAAGGTCAGCGGTGAAAAGTGACGGATGTGCCTAAAGGAGCGTGTGAGTATGTGTGTTTGTAAGGTGGAGTGGGTGTGTACTCCTTTATCCATGGATGAAATTACAGAACAGCTCACAGGTTAGTTAAGGCTTTAACATTATGTGTGTGCCTCTCAAACTGTGTGAAAGCACTGGAATAGTTCTCAAGTGTTACAGATAGTAACACTACAGGGAGGGGAAGCTTGTCTGTCCATAAATGGAATACAAAGTCCTAATAATATCGTTATTTGGTTGTATTTACTATGAATGAGAAAGAAGAAGGTGTCTAAGATATCGAAAACTGTATAGAGTTGGCTGGAACTGTGGATTATATTTGTTTTGGTTTTTTTTGTTACCAAGAATACAATGTGAACATTAATATCTGTATGCCCAAGGCAACAAAAACAGATACTAAATGAAAAAGGGGTTGTCATCTGAGAATGATCTTAATTCATTTAGTCTCTCCTGTCCAATCAGAAACATTCACGTCCTATCCAAACCAAAATGAGAGAACTCCATGAGCCCAACATGCCTTCCAAACCGCACGGCTCAAATACCCAGAAATTATAATACTTTCATTTCATGTCTTCATCTAAAAAAAAACCCACAAAAAGGAAATACATTTTCTCGACAGAGTGACGTTCAGGCCAACATTCAAATTAAAAACAGTTTTTCTGGAGTTCTATTTCCTCTGGACACTACAGTCTTTCCGTCAGTGTCTCTGTGCTCAAAGTGGAGTGGACAGCCCGCTTGCTCCCTCAGAACATTTATACCACGCGGTAATTCACAACAAACTCTCAGGAGCCAGGAGGCAGGAGGATATAGAGGCTGCTGTAATGTTCGGAGGCCTTTGGGGAGATCAGGCAGGAAGCACTTCTCCAGCAGACACTGGCGAGCTCGGACCATGGGAGGAATTTCATACGGCGCTGGCTTTTCCAGCTTTTCTGGAGCGTATTTATAGCAGCTGAGGTCAGAAAAAAAACAGCAGCACGCTGGTGGCCTTCTGCATGTCGCCATGTTAAGTGATGCCCAAGCCTGCAGGGGGTGGGGCAAAGCGGGCCATTCCGTTTTATGTCCAAACCTCCATGATAATGACAATAGTAGCCCAGTTATGAGTTGCCAAAAAGTGTGCCATTTTTCACACTGCTGCCAAACCCTGAACTGTTAAACACTGGATACAGACGTCCACACTCAGAGGGAACCGCTGGCTGACACCACAATGCACCACAATGCAGCCTTGTTTTTTGAAGTTTCTGACCTGTAGTGGGAAAGGTTTTAATCTTTTTTTTCTTTTCTGTTTGGTTTAGTTTCAACCTAAACATAATAATATTTGAAAAGGCACTTTATGGGCACTTTTCTTGGATTTAGCCTCAATGGCTGTCTTTCATTGCCCCATTATTAAACATATATATACTGTATATATACATATATTTATATATATATATGTGGAGATTAAAGATACATATACAACTAGTCCAGTGAAGACCAGCCAACTGAGTAGCTCCTGACTACAGCTTCGCATGCCTCTGTAGTGGAAACCGGGATATCATCTGTCCAGCCCTACCCCCTCAGAACTGATTAGTGTAAATGATCCGCGTTTGCAGTGGTACGTAACACAACACAGATTATTATTCTGTGCTACCAGGGTTTCTGAGCGCTCTTCCTACGACATGAATCATTAAACAGGTGACTGTAATCCATACAGACAGCCCGGTTCTCAGGGTGACAGCGAGCTACCCGATGCTGACCAACCGAACTCCACTGCTTCACAGGCAAAGCTCAGATTTCTCATCTTTTAGCGAAAAAAAATGTCAATGGTTTGTCTAAAACGTTTATTTAGAAGCTAATCTATGTGCTGTTTAGTGATTTGTTCTATGCTGTAAAGTTTTAAGGACATTTGCGGATGAAGATAATACTAAAAAATCAGCCTCATATAAACAAATTTGCACAATCTGCAAACCAGAATCAGTATTAGTTTGGTGTCTCCTGTAACTGAGGACATTACTGTCTGATCCAGAGCGTAGTGACATTTTGAAATACAAATCTTTCAGCACTACAGCAGCATAAAGCACCTGCTCATTAATCTGAAAATCATTGGCACGGCGTTGAAGTAACCTATAGCAACTGCTTCTGTGTCAACAGAAATCTTGGACAGCTCATGCAGTCCAGGAAAGCGCAACACCATTGGCTGGCTGAATGAATGACTTGCAAACTTGTCTATCTATTATGCATGTCAGTCCACCTTTACTGTGTTCTTGGGCTCATTCTCAGGTAAACACAGCTGAGAGGTAGCCGCTCACAAGTAGCTGAAATAAAGGACTAGCTCTCAGTGTGGTAAGAACTCCTTTGTGACTTTGATTATTCAACATATATTTGTATATTAGGATACTTTATTTCTTTACCACATTATGCTTCAGATCCATTTATCTAAATGTTCTTGATGGTTACAAATAGAGAAATATTCCTGGATTCTGTCTGTATGAGTAACTGTAAATAATGGAACTTTTTGTAAAATGCCCTTCTTTTTTTCCCTTAGACTTAAATAAACAGAGCCACTCTGAGGAAAGTCGAAAATGGAGCTGATGGGATCCACTCTGACAGCCACTTATGCTCGGCCAAAAACCAGCCACTTCCTCCCTGCTATTTCTACTATGGCATCCAGCTATCGCAACACCCAGCCAGTCATGGCCATGAATCCCAGTGCCAACATGTGGAGAACCAACAGCTATTACAAGGGCAGCAGCTCCATCCAGTCTCCCTCTTCCCTGCAGCGCGACGGTTTTGACCTGGTTCGAGCCAAGACCATGTTTTACCCTTCCAACAGGAGTGCGCTGACCACTCGGTACACGCCGGACGACTGGTACAAATCCAACCACAACAACTACAGGGAGTCTGAGTCCTCCCGGAAAAGTGCGGAGCGGCTGAGGAAAGACACCGTCAGGCTGATGCAGGATAAAGAGCAGCTCACCAGACGCTCTCAAGAGAATACGAGCAAGAACATTGCCGAGAGGGTGAACGACATCGTCTTCTGGAGGTCTGAGCTCAGCCACGAGATTGACAACATGGTGACAGAGATAGCGGCACTCACCGAGGTAAAGAGGAGGCTGGAGAGGGCCTTGGCTGAGACTGAGGGCCCCCTTCAGGTAAGGAGGAAAATCTAATTTTCTCTATCTTGAGTTACAGGTTTAGGGGGTTTTTCAGTTAATAAACACGTTCATAAGAAGGCACATTGTGTTTTTTTTTCGTCATCCTTACCACTTCATGCATTAATAATTGATGCATGTCAAGCTTCAGGGTGAAAATACTCTATGGTTTCCCATTTAGTTGTAGCAACAGTATCTGTTTAGAATGCAGTGGAGCTTTCCCTGGCTCTTACTCTTAATTAGGTCACCTCAGTGCCCTGTGGGAGCACAAGTGGTCATTTGTATCAACCAGCGTGCCACAGCTTGAGCTGACCGAAGATCTGATGACACGGACACCTTGCTAGAAAAATATCAGGTAGCGTGCAGCTTTCTGAGATGATTCTTGGACCACCTGAAACTGGAGCATTCAGACATACACGCATAGAGGAATGTACGGTATACTTTACACACATGGCTGACATGTCCTTCTCAAATGGTTCCTTACCTGGTGCTGCTCGCATTAGGTCACAAAAAGGGCTGGATGTTGATCTTGTTAGATACTGAGTGACTCCTGACCAAACTGAGCATCTCATAGCGTCTGAGTCACTATAATTTTGTGAACAGGTTTCTCAAGAGTGTTTGTACCACAGAGAGAAGCGGATGTCTATTGATTTGGTACACGACGAGGTTGAAAAAGACCTCATAAAGGTAAGCCAACTGCGGGAGTGAACATTTTATTCCTGATACGAAGTTAAATCTTGAGAGTTATCATATGATTTTATTTTTTTTGTGCTAAAACAAGGAAGTAGAAGTCATAAAGTCGTGTCAGGAGAAGATGAGGCGCCATCTGGAGAGAGCCATCGCACAGCTGGCGTAAGTCTTAGAAAATGAAACAATGACACATTTCTAGATACAATATTCTACTCGGTGACAATTTTGAAATGTGGGTTTATCTTATTTTTGTAGGTCGAATCGAGCAGCCCAGCATGAGCTGGAAAAGGACATGAGTGACAAAGTGACAGCACAGAGGATCGATGACCGGTGTCACTATTTGAGGAACACATCAGACGGTATCGGCTACCACAGAGGGATTGACAGAATAGACCATTCGTGAGTATATGTGTTTGTTTCTAGCAATTTATTGCATTATACTTCCGCAACGTACCTTAAATGTAAAATCTGTAAAAGAAAAACTGTAAAAAAGAATGGGGCAAACATCATCTTCTTCTCTGAATCTTCTTCTATTCCCCCTTGTCAGCGTCTCTTTGCCAGACTCATGGTCCAAGTTCACCGATGACAACATCCTGCTCTCCCAGAGCCAAAGGGCTGCCTCCCATAAGCTCAGGGACGAGATCGAAATTTTGCTAAACACCACATCCAACGAGATGTGGAGCCAGTTCAACAATGTCAACGTTGCCTTCACAGGCCGCATATCAGAAACCGGGGATGCCAAAAACAGCCTGCAGGCACACCTGGCTAAGGTGAACCTCTGGGACGTGACCCTCTTTCAGATAAGATGTCAAAACTGATGTTTTTGATCCATTATATTTTGGACATTGATGTCAACTTAATCTAAAAAAAAACTAAAAAAAACAACAAAAAAAACACTTGAAAGAGACAATCAGACAAATGTACTTTTAAAAAAAATAAAAATAATGAATGCATTCATCCATGTCAACCTGTGGCTCAGTAAATTGGCCCCTTATGAAAAATCATTGGTTTGGACAGTGCAATTTATTTTAACCTCCTGAGACCTGAGCTTTTATTTGGTGTGCATTTTTGCTTTTCTCAAGATACATGTGATTGACATGACCTAATAAGTTTAATAACTAACCTTTGTCATGGCACAGGTAGTTTATATTTATATTTATCTTCATATTAAATATCTTTATTTATGAATGTAATGAAAGGTTTTTGCAATTTGGTTCTGACGGTCCAGATCACTTATTTATAACATTTTAATTAAGCAATAAGAACATGATTGGTTGAAAATGGTTAAAACCATTTACTTCAGATTTCAAACAGTAGCGTCTGATAGCGTCAACTATGAGGCCAAGAGGTCACAGTCGAAAAAAAAAGAAGTATCATGGTCTCAGGAGGTTAATGAAAACAGTAGCCGTGCTGTTGTGAGAAGAATGTCGAAAAATGAATTAGCAGAATGTAGAATATAAGCTCTTTATTATCTGCTTTGTGTCCTGTACATAGATAAATGCTTGCTATGAAACATTTGAAATAGACTACCCTTTATTTGTCGTTGTCATGTGAACTACAAGACTTTATGGTCTGTGCCTTCCATTCAGTGCATTTGAACACTGGCAGCAGCAGATATGAGACACACCGTCCTTAATAAACTTCTGTCCCTGGCAGCTGTATGAAGTAGTGATTATCTGGAATTAGATTACATCAAAAGGGCTGGGACAGAGGAAACCACTGAGAGGCACACCGTTCAGCACATTGGAAATCTGCTGTGTCTGACTTTTCATTTGGAAAAGGATTTTACTCCTTTTTCCCGACATCTTTTTAGGTGTTCCTGTTGTAAAGACGTAACATAGTTGATATGTTTTACCTGTTAATTACACAGAAAGCTGCTTGATTTGGAAATGACTGCTCTATAAAAATGTTTCTTTTTTATTTTCCTTTCAACCAGACTCTGCAAGAACTCTTTCAGACTGAGATGCTGATTGAGTCGCTGAAAAAAGCCATCAGAGACAAAGAGAGTCCGCTGAAAGTGGCTCAGACTCGGCTGGAGGAGAGGACTCGTAGGCCTAATGTAGAGCTTTGCAGGGACAACCCACACCACAGGTATTGCCCAGTCACCTGTCAACAGTTAACTTTTTTAAAATTTATTCCCTATGTGTTTTGCAGAGAGTCGCTAATCCGCCAAATGAAGTTATTTATGAGAGGATGCAATGTTATAAATGCCATAGCCAGCAAACCATTTAGTCTTTTGAAATCAGGGATTAGCTTGCAGGGAACCTGCACAAACTGTAATATGAAGATGAGCAGCACCAATTCCTGTTGTTTCACCATGGGATGGAAATGTTTCTTTAAATGTTCAACAGCATGAAAAAAGCTAACAGTAAAACGCCTCTTTGTATCTTTGACCGTTCAGACTTGTAAGCGAGGTGATGGAAATTGAGGACACCATCCACAAACTTCAGGAGAGGCTGATGGAGGCAGAGAGCACTCTGCAGACTCTGGTCAAGACCAAAGTTACCCTGGAGCACGACCTATCCATCAAAGCCAACTCTCTCTTCCTGGACCAAGAGAAGTGCATGAGCCTGCGCAAGAGCTTTCCCAGCATGCCCCGTCTAGTCGGCTACACCTAAACTGAAACATTTCAAATAGACCCTCGCAGGACCTGTTGTGTGCAGTTCAGATTGAAATTATTCATAAAGACGGTACTCATAGAGACAGTAAATCTTTATTTGACCAGTGTGCATCTTTCAGTGTGGTTTTAGTAACTAATTGATGTCTAAGTAACTGATGATGACCAAAAAGTAGCTGAATTTGATATATAGTACTTGTGCGGTTGTTTGATTTTGAATACTGCATTTTCAGAGAGACAAAATTAACTGTTCCGCTTCTTATGTTCGTTTTTATTACCATTAACAGAGTCTCTTGAAATAAGGTAAAAATAACACAGCATTACTTGAAACTCCGAGACAGTTCAAGTAATGCAGATCCAGTAAAGAATCTGTGGAAAGATCTTAAGATATGAGTGATAGACAGAGTTGTAATTGAAATCAATCAGTCATAGTTTTAAACACATGCTCTATTGTATTGGCCTATTAAAAGAGACACACTTAAGTGTACTAAATGGGCTTGGTATGTTAGATACAACCTGAAGCAAAAGCAGTTTCAGCAGGGACTGGGTTAAATTAATAGGTTTGGATAGTAGTAAATATATAATGGTTGACAAATCAGCGAGCGTCAGTGAGGAGATATTCTCTGTCTGGACCTTACCTCTTTTACTGTGTCATTCACATGTAACCAATGCTAATTTGCTAGGTACTGGCTTCCTGTGTGTTAAAAAACTTGTCTGTATTAAAAACCAATCACACGGGTTTCACATCTTCTGAATTTATAAATGCTAAACAGAAAGAGGGAGAATATTCTAAAAACACTATCCAGAAAAAAGACTGAAATACAGGATTTATTTGAGCTTTTATTGGTACAACTAATTTAATGCAGTTTCTGAAGTGAAAAGCTAGTGAATTTAAACCTGATGGTAGTAAAATTCTGAGTAAATCCGGTTGTACTGAACATCAGCCTCTGAGCACCATGACTCTGAAATCATTGGAACACTTCCAACAGCCCAACCTTCCTCATTTACTACTTTTGCTCACTGTTCTGCAACCCTCTGCTCACTCACACCTCCACGCTCAAAGTACACAGGCGGGTCTAAAGAGTTAACCTTGGCTCCATCCTTTGAGTATCAGTTTCATTTTATTCAGTTCTGTCAGCCAACGCCTACCAGGGCTTGAGCAAACTTTGGACACACACTCGTACGGTAAACACTACTATCGCTCTCCTTTACCCGACACTCCTAGTATCGCACTTCTTTAGGAATCTTTTACTTTAGCCCTGAATGACATTCCTCCATTAACCAATAGTGACTTTTAAAATGAATTCAGAGGTCCAGAATAATAGAGGACGCCATTAACTGCAACATCAGTAAAGTTTCAAACTACAAAAAGAGACAAAAATGTATTTCATCGTGCTAAGAGGATACAAAGAAATCCACTAAAAGTTGCGGTAAAAGCATTTCTGTTTGAACAATTCACATTATAAATTCCTGACAAAGGAAGGGAGGGGATTCTAAATATTAACCACCTTATGTGTGGGTTTTACAGCTGTATTAAAATCTCAGTGAGCTCCACAGGTCTCTGCTGTGCAAACACAATTGTATTTAATTACAAGACTACAAGACAAGCAATGGGATGACAAGAGGACCTTCCCATGCTTCTCGCAGTACAAAAGTATTACAAAATTAAAGATCTGCTGGAATGTATCTCACATCAAAAGCATAATATAACACGACTGCACGGGTTTTCTCCTGTTTGTCTTCCCTTATTTGATACAGCAAACCTGAATGGCCGTCAGAGGTAAAACATTTCATGAACTGAAGTTCGCTGATCAGTTAAAGGTTGCAGATTTTGTTTTGGAGGCTCCAGAAATAGATCCTCGTATTTGACCTCCTCTACTACCACCTCATTTTGGGAATGTACTCTGGAATTCTCCCCGCGGTCCGAAGATCTTTGCCGGCTTATTTTTAACATCAGTTCTCATTATAGATACCTTGTGCCCCATGTTGTTTTATGTTTCCCTCATACCATCATACCACATGATGATGAAGAGCTGGGCAGAGCACATTGGAGACGAGACGATTAAAGCTTCTTACCCTGCTGTTACTACAGCCGGGTCGTATGAAAAACATCTGAACTATGGAGTAAAATTAGCATTTTATTGGCCTTTTAACACCACTGGCATTAAGGATGACAAGAGATGAAGGGTATGATCTTTTCTGGCATCTTTTTGTCCCATTCTTCCTGCTAAAACATCAGAATGTGTACAACAGTCAGAATATTTGTGATAAAAATCTCTGCTGGGGACTAGTCATGACTGAAGACAAGCCAGTCCAGCAACAGGGCCTTCTTTGTCCTCGGCAACGTCTTTGTGATGTGTGCAGGATGGAATTTTGCATGGTCCCCCTTTGAAAATTGCATGGACATGGTGCTGATATATCACTCTGAAATCTCTCGTCCAAATGAACTATGACATCCCCTCAGTGTCACAGAGCTGTGGGACTTCTTCCAAATAACTGTCCGGCTGTCACTCGTCTTTGGTGTTTTCTTTTGTTTTTGGAATACGCAGCATCTATTTCCAAAAGTAACCCCGAGATAAAAAGTAAATAAATAAAAATACCATTTTGGCTAGCACAATTTGATCGCTGAGTAGTGGTCAATCCTGTGGAGACCACCTTTACACATATACGGTTTAAAGAAAAATTAGTGAATGTAACATATGTGCTTGCATATAAATAAGATGATGAATGATTACATTTTCAACGGTATGCCATAATAAATTAATTATTATTCAAATTATTGCCTAATTTGAACCAATCATCCACAGCAACGAAACAGAAGCTCCCAGAAAAATTAAGTTTCAACACTCCTGAGTAAGAAAGACCTGATTTTTCTGGTGTCAGTTAAATAAAACCCAACCAACCCAAAATCACTACCTAATCTAATGAGAAGTCCTTTCATCTTAGTTTCAACAACACCAAATGGATGTATTTGCATCATCGAGCATGAATACAAGAAATCAGGAGGCCGCATGTGTCATGCCATTAAGTTCCACCCCATGCACAGATGCTGTACTTCTTATCCACAGTTGGTTTGGGTTAAGCTCGATTGCAGCTTGTTTTTTCTCCCACTCTCTGTGCTCCTTTTCCTGTCTACTTACTGTTGAATAAAGGCACTTTGCAGCCTGCGGAGAGCCAAAAAAAAACTTAAGGAAAAAACAAAACAAAACAGGAAATCGGTAAGAAGGACTAAACATAATATACACACACTTACCAGGAATTCTCTAGAGAATTACCAGTAGAAAAAAATAAAGTTGCTCATTGTGGCTGCGTTTGTCAGTAGCTGTGAGCAAAAATTCATAGGACCGTATTTTATAAAAATATTCAGCAAATTTATATCATGCACAGGTTGCTGTTGTGCCATTTAGACTTACTTTTCACACACCATGAACCATTAGATAGAGCAATCAGGTAATAAAGCCAACTGTTCAGTGCAGATTTTTTCCCTAAAATTTCATGGGATACTAGATTTTGCTGGGACATATGGATTAAATCCCTCTAGCCGTAACACATTTATCTAAAGGCATCTTCAACAGTAGGGGACTTGATCTGAATTGAAAACTAAACATTCATGGGAACCAGAGCCTCCTGCAGCTTTTGGATCTGTTCCAGAATGTGTGTTTTCTCAGGAGACCACTCCATGGTAGGACTGTAACGTTTCCCTATTAATGTTTTAGGGTAAAACTATATGCGACCAAGGAACTCGTTGAAGAATGGGCCTCATAACCGTTTGGAGCCGAAGGAAGTTGGAGACAGGCTGATAAGACATGTGATGTTCTGTGGGTTTTTCCAGCCCAACTGCCAGCCTCAAACACTGTGCGTGCTTCTGTGGTTTTGTTCACGTCCCAGCAAAATAAATCTTTACCTTCCTAGACCTTTAAACTTTCAAAAAGCAGCATCTTCCTCCAAGCTTGCGGATCTAAAGATGACAGATCACAGCGTACATTCAGTACATCAGGGAAGCTATTGAGTGGATCTCTTGAACAATCAATAAAATTGATCCGCGAATCCAATTCTTCACATAGTAGACACAGAGAGGAATGACTATCTAACAGAGGAACACAGAGATCAAGATTCTGCCCTGAATAAAACTAATGTTGACTGAGAGTTGGGCAGCGTGCTCTGTCTCACAGCCACGTTTCCGAGATTATTTATTTATTCATTTAGTAATGTGGTATCAGGGGAGAAGGGGCTCTTTTTCTCACAGTCAAACTTCAGCATGCTCTTGTTAAAGCTCCACATCCCTCCTTATGAATGTTAGCATGTTGCAGCACAACGGGCAGCTCATGGCGGCTGATTGAAAAGCCAATCAGATTTCGAGGGTTACCAAACTCCCATCCTCAACTTCAGCAACTTTTGGAGACCGCAGTTGACAAAACCTTTTCAAAGCAACAGGGATTGCTGCAGTGTAGCCATCTCTTTCCTGTATTGTGTATCTACTCTGATTAAAGCGTGATGACAAGACAGGGGGGTTAGGAAAGGCCTAAAACTTATCAGTGTTCAAACAAGCCATATTTACCTCTCATCACTCTTTCAAATTTTCTGCCTCCTCTTGTCTCCCTTGCACCCCAGGCTCTGTCACTATACAGACCTTTAGACTGAATTACTGCTCTGTTTTATTTAAAAAATGCATTTCTTGTAAATTCTAATACTTTGACTAAAGATTTGCATTTGTTATCTGACCTGTCTAGTCAGCCATTGCACAGTGATATAGACCAGAGCCAGAAGTGTCACGTCTGGTGTCTCGTCATGTCATGATTACCAATTGTGTGCACCTGGGGTTCCCCTCCCTCTTGTGTTTAAATAGTCCTCGTTTCCCCTTGTCTTGTGCGAGTGCGTTTTCGTCTTTGTCCTTCGTCACCCCCACGCCAGGTTTGCCTTCGTCTTTTGTCACAGTTTTTGCCTCAGCCATAGTCTCAGTTTTGCCACAGTTTTGTCAATTGTTATTTTGTTACTTTGTCATAGTTTTGCCACAGTCTTGTTTGCTTTGCTTTGATACTTTGACCACAGTTTTCCACAGCTTTGATTTGTACTTTGTCTGGACATTCACTCGTCATGAGTTTTTTGTGCAATAAACCTTGTTCCCCTCATTCCGCGACTGAGTCCTCCCTCCAAGAACCCACCGACATGACAAGAAGAATCCAGTGTGAGATGAGACTGGGGTCGTCCGAGTCCAATAGGACTCAAGTAGTTTGGGAACTATTAAACTAGATCAGCTCCATGCACAGAGACACTTTACATGCAGAGCACAGAGCACAAAGACTAGAGCACCTTTAACAAACAGCAGGCCTGTCGCTAAGTGTTCGGACGGTGACGCAGATAGGCCCTTCAGCCCAGGCCAGCACGGAGCATCAGCTGGACTAAACGTCTCACTCAGGCTGAAAAATATCTGCCGTGAGCATGAGCCCGTTCATCATCCCCGCTAATGGACCCTGGTCCGAGCCAAGAAAAGTCAAACTATGTGTAACGCAATAAAGTGACAGAAAGCAGCCTGTCAGATTTCTTCACCGTTAACAGAGAGATTTCACTGGGTACTTAAAGCTTTTTTTTATTCTTATTCTTCATTTAATTTTTTTTTAATCAAACGAAATCTTTTGGGTGCTATTTTGGTGTAACAAAAACATCGTTTGTGGCCGTCATCTGCTTTAACGCTCCTCGGTGTTGGTATGTGGATGAGGTTTCCGTAACTCAATCACATCTACTCCCCCAGATTTGGGCCCCTTGGCTGAGGTCCTATCTATGGATCTGGAATGCCCTCTAACAGTCTGGTGCACTAACGTGAAGATAAGTCATGCTGTCCTCATGACGGAGATGAAATGCTAGACGCTGCTGCAGATGTAAAGTTATTCAGTATCCGAGTCTGAATGTTTGTTATGTGGCTCTCCCCTGAGAGTTTGGCCTCAACCCCAGCTTCACAAATGGAATAAACTTAACACTCCCGTGTCTACTCAGCCCACTGATTGTCAGGCTTTTCCAAACATTGACATATAAGGGATGGGAATGAGGAGTGCCTCCACGTCTAGTTTTAACAAGACTGCATTCTGAGTTACAGCAAACCTTCTCAGCTCATATCAGGTTAAGCCTGATTATTCAGTAAACATACGCTTAAGCCGAACGTTTAATAGACAATGGATACATCTGCAAAAAGATGCTGATTGTCACAAACTTTTGTCAAAGCGCAGCCTAAAATATTTCACTCCAAACGCACTTGGTGCTCACAACGTGCTCTCATAACCACTCTTTGTAGGTGTGCAGTGACATGAACACAAAACAGCGGCCTGCGATTCCATGTACACGAGAAACACAGTCGGTGGCATCCAGGGAGAGCAAGCTAACTGATGAAGAAGGAAAAGTGGGCGTTGACAGGGGTTATCCGTGGTTGGACACTCCCTGGGCTCTTCCACCAGCCTGTTGAGTCGACGAGGCGGGATTCAGAAAGGAAAGCAACCAATCAGACTCTGAGGACAGAAAAAAGCACACAGCTGATAATGATCCTTAACAATCACTGACACTGAACGAGGTTCATCTGTTGCCTCTTTGCAAAAGAAGATCCAGACCCAGGGGGAGATAAGGCCATCAGTACATACTTTTAAATATTTACATATATCACAGAACCCTTTGCCCCCTGTTAGGATTTCAAAGAATTCCAGTCATTGCAACATCAGTATCCTCATAGGTTTAACCTCAGAGCATACTTCTACAATAAGGAGATGCGGTCCTTGTCCAGGGCGGAACACAATCTCACTCCCTCTGGAAGTGAGTCATGTCAAACAGAGAGCCCTAGATGCTATCTGTCACTGGCAGTGTGCTGTGCATGCCCATCCACACTTCACACGTTCTGTGAGTCACTGGCCTGAGTGCATGACTACCAGAGGGAAAAGACCTGCACTACATCACAACACAACAGCATCCGGCTCCAGAATTGCCATGGTAGCAACATTTTAAGGGGTCCAGGGAATTAAACGTTATTCTGTCAATGTACACATTGAACGGATTCAATATTATCGGCATGTAACTTTGTCTCTCTTGTCAGATGTTTCCAAAACACAAATTTGGTGCAGTGAAATTCCATTAAACCCACGACAAAAACTTTCTAAAAGTCTGATTAAAATGCTTTTTGATGTATTTTATATACTAATATACTTAATCAAAAATTAGATCCGTAACATGTCCATTTAATAAAGTCTAAAACTCAACCAAGTGTGTTTTCCTGCATTATTTGAAAGCATGATAAATAAGATAAAGAAAAAGATTCTTCCAAAGTTGAGGGTTTCTCTTAGTTTCCACAGCGTCAAAACAATGATCACAAAGCTACTCCATGCAGAAAGTCACTAAGGCAACCCATGCGATATTACGCATGGCGCGTCTATATTGGGAACCCTGGCAATGAACCAGAGGGTCACTCCGTGACGCAGCCACGCACGCAGGGCGTTGTTCTTCCATAATGAGACACTTTATAACAGAACGTCAGCCCCCTGGCATCAATATAGTCTGAGAGCGAGCTTTTAGGGACGAAGGACTACCGTTGCTGGACTCTTTTGGGGAAAACTTGCTTTTGCTTCCTGCAAGCCTGAACGGTGTTTGTGGAATACAAGACCCATCGCTTGAAGTAAGTAGACTTTGCTTTCTCCAAAACTGGCTTTTTCGGAGCCGCGCTCCTGCCTCTCCCGACGGATCAAAAGGCGGAAACGCTTTGAGAGCCTCAGTGCGCGCACAGAATAGCGCTGTCATCTAAAAAAGTTTGCCAAAATGATCATTTTTTTGTTATAAATATCAGATAATAATATGCGATTTCTCCTCATTTGTTTCCTGGTTATGGAGAAAAAAACAACTTTATTCCCATTTTGCGAATCCTTAACGCAGGTCCGTTTAAACGGACTCTAAAACAATTTATGAACGAAATACTGTTCACAATCCATCAATTTGATTTTAGGTGTTTTAAAATGAACATAAAAAACAAGAGAAAAAGACTTTAAACTTTGATCATGCCCAAAAACTTTCTATTGAAAAGAGGCACCTGACACCAATTTGCCCACATGAGGAATATTAGCAATGACCCATTTTTTTCTTCCTTTAAACTGATGTTCAGAAAGGACATTTTCAGAGAGCCTCTCTATAGACGGTCAGTGTTTTTGTAGTAAAACACCCATTTCCCCACAGTCTGGCTTCCAAAGATGGGCGCACAGTACACTGACGGGCTGTTTTTCTCTCCTCATCGCTTAGATTATCTGTAAAGATGCTGCTGCTGCTTCTGGGAATCATCCTTCTGCACCTGGCTGCCCTGGTGCTGCTTTTTGTGTCCACAATTGTCAGCGTGAGTGAAACTTCTTATTTCTTATTTGAGTTTGCAAACAAAACTAGATATGTCCAGATTAAATAGAAAGAAACATCATTGCCTGGAAAATAGGAACTCTGAGATAAGTAGATACAGTTTGTGATTCACATGTCTTTATTATGAGTTTGAGTGTCTTAAATCTGATCCATTCAGAGCCCCTTTAAACATGTGACTGACTGAGCTGTTATTTTTTTTCCGACAGGTATGGACCACCGGGGAAACGGGCACCTCGGACCTCTGGTACAACTGCTCTGCGTACAGTGGGGGCTACAGCTGTAACCCAGCATCAACTGGAGGTCAGGCACCTGTGCCATCTTTTTCCCATCTTCCTTTGAGATTTGTTAAGACCGTTTGTTCACAGCATCTACGGGGGGATATTGGGAATGTTAGTCATTGCTCTGCTGTGAAGTCTTGCGGGGGTTTGGGAGTATGTGTGTGTGTGTGGGGGGCTCTTGATGACATTTCTACCTTGCTGAGGATGTGGGTGTGTCGCATCTCTTCTGGGAGTCTGGTGCCATCTAGGGCAGAGAATGTGTCGGTGCTGTTTAGGGGACGATAGCCGATAGGCTGCCGCTGTATAAATAGTCATGGTGTGATGTCCATAATAAGGTCTCGTGTTGGCAGTCCGCAGTAACAAGCATGTGGGGGGGGGCAGCGTATGATCCGGGTGGGGCCGTGGAGGGTATTTAAAGTTTTTGGATGTCTACGTGTGCTCTTGGACTGGCCCGAGCAGAACACGGCATGCTGATGGCGGGTCACGCCCAGTGTCAGATTATAGTGTCCAGTGTTAGTTTGCAGGGATCATTAGGGCAATTTAAGGCAGCAGCTGCAGCCCCGAGAGATTTACGTGCACAAACTCAGGCTGGATATTAGATACGTGGAGATACAATGGATAAAAACACAGACAAAAATGAGTGATGGAGCTAGAAGCTCATGTGAGGTGCAGAAGTTGGATGTTTTACCCCTAAATGTGCCATTACAGTTGTGCAGGGGCAGCTGGCGACAGGGTGGTGATGTCATTTGTCTAGAACGAGCTGCCTTCAGCCAGTGTGTGTGTGCGTGTGTGTGTGTGTTTTGTTAGGGCCGTAGCCCCTCAGTGCTTCCAGCTTGTTTGATGGTGCAGCCGGTTTGTTTGGCTAGCTTTCATTAGAGCTCTGACGCAGAGTGTTTATTTAAAAAGGCGCGTGTGCCCGTCCTGGGTCTGTGCGCTGGCTTTGGCAGATGGTCAGATAGTGGTCAGCTCTCTCACAGGCGTTCAAAAGAGCCGTCTGAAGCTCTGCTGAGCAATCGGTTTTCCCTCCGAAGCGGATGATAATCATGGTCATCGCAGTTATGCTTAGGAGGGGCTTTTCAGCTAGCAGGATTCCTCCTTTCCGTTTCCTCGGTTACAAAATATTGGCTGTGTTTGGTTTTGGTGACACCAGAGTGAGACGCACTGACGCCACAGTTATCACGTCCTGCACGAGTTGCACACAGCCGGGGAAATTACTTCATCGAATTAATTTGTGCTAAAATAAACCACACGGACTCGCACAGGCCTAAACACAAACATTCACAAAAACTTCAGCATGCTTATTTTAGGCTGTAGTGTCTTCCTGTTTGGAGCAACGTTAACATTTTTGAGTCGGAAGAAGACTTTCTGCACTCAATAATGCGAGTACACTTTTAAATATAAGTCATACTTGCTTATCATGATCCACTGAGCCCCCAGTCCAGCCTCATGCCAGGAAATGCCAGTTGTCAAAGTTTTCTCCTCAAGAGGGAAGGAAGGAAGGAAGGAAGGAAGGAGAGTAAGACATGTGTTTGTTAGAAAGCAGTGATGCATTGTTCTTGCTGTCTTGCGTCGTTATCGCAAAGCTATATATAACGTCTGAAAAGAAGACTGTCAAAGTGGAATCCAGTTGTTGCTCCATAACTGCTTTGCTTTAGCCACATTTAGCATTTGGGGAGTCGTAGTGAGCCGTGTTTCTTTCCAAATCTCAGCCCTGCATTCATCGGGAGTTATCATCCTTATGGCACAAACAGAAGAAGCCAATTATAAATGGATTTTATGTATTTTGTTTTTATTTATTTATTTTCTTAATCAATACAAATGTCCACCAGGAGGCTGGTAACCAGATGTTACCAATCAGATTTCCCATTTCTTCTTTTTTTAACCTTAATGAACAGGGCTAAATTGTGCAAATGCATTTTTTCTTGTGCAGTGGCACACCAATAGAACCACAACATCTACGATATTAAATAAAATCAACATGCCACCTGAGAAGGTTCCAAGAAGACAGTCGGTGACATGAAATACTGTGCAAAAAAGCAGAGCCACCCATTTATAATTGGCTGCCAAGCAGCCATACTTTTGGTATTGATCAACAATTCAGCAAAATGTCAGATTTTGTGTACATTTAGTTATATTTTAGCTATATTTATATCAACACTAGTTCAAATCTGGGGATGAACTAGTGTTGTTTGTAGACATAACATAATTTTGCAAAGAACTACGCTATCCTACTGAGATCTGAGGAATGTTGGGAAAGACTTACCCTGTGTGAATTGTGATAAACTGTGTTTGACGGATTTGTCTGAAGCAAATGCTGGCATTAGAGGAGCACACACATTTGAGCCTGTATTATGGAATTGGAAATTTGTGAGAAAGCACATTGTGACATCATGTTAGAAAATCTGTTCACTGTTCTTACAGTTGACAGAGCACAACAGTAGGAATAGTAAACATACCAACACAATAAACAAGGCCCAGAGGTAGAGACTGAGCACTTAGGAAACCTGAGGGGCCCGGAAGTAAACAGATAATCCCCAGACAAGATATAGACTCTGCTTGGAAATCTTAGAATTTACTGGCATGTTAGAAGGGAACAGAAAGGAGCACGCTCGGTCGGATAGCACTGATACGACAGATGGTGTTCCTGGTCAATACGGGAGTCTAATGGGTTAATGGAGCTCTAGTGGTAACGATCAATGTGGTACAGTGAGTCATAGGTCCTGCTGTGAGGGGCGCAGAGAGCTTTTAGGGAACGAGATACCTGAGCTTCCACGCTGCGGATCCATTACACAATCCCAGAGGTGAACTCTGCCTGGGCTTGGTCATTACGTTCTGTGAGCCAGTTCACTTAAAGCACTTTGGCATTTGATGTTTCATTTGTTCCAACGTATCTTCCTGTGTCCTCATTAAGTTAATCTTATATATAAATGATGCTCTGACAATGGGTCGGTTATTGACTAAACGGTCTTTGCTCCCCTTCTCTCGCAGAGTGGATTCAGGCGGTTCAGGCTCTCATGATCCTCTCCATCATCTTCAGCTGCCTGTCGCTCTTCCTGTTCTTCTGCCAGCTTTTCACTTTGCAGAAGGGCGGACGCTTCTTCCTCACTGGAACCTTCCAGATCCTTGCCAGTGAGTTCGCACCTCCCTGACACCTTTCCACAAAGTGCTGACTCAAGCACAACAAACAGGGACCCGTCCCTGTGTTTTGTTCGGGCTTTTGGAGACTTGCATGTACAGTTTACATTCATGAAGTCTCACACATGTTTCCAGTTGCGTTTAAGGGTAAGTTTGAAATTGGACTTTCCAACGTCTGAATGGGTTTTTAACCATTTTAGGTCTGGTTAATCAGCAGTTAAGATTAACATTTTTTTTCTGTCATTAGTCTTTTTTTTTCTTTTTTTAAATTACGAGATTGGTGCATGGTTTTAGTTTTTACTAAGTCCTAGTTTTGAATGCTGCCTATTTCTTTTTTTGCTTGGCTAAAAGTTAAATCATTAAGTTACCATAATTATATAAAAGTACCAACAAAAGGATACTCAGCAGTACAAAGTAAGAAAATAAGGTAACTTATTCAGAATTTGGAGAAGCTGTGCATTTTGTAAGTACTCTCATCTGAATAAAGAAATACTTCACAAGACTGATAAAAAAATACACCACTCCTACAATTCCACCTACACAGTTACACTGTGGAACACCACATCATCTGGGGCAGACAATTAAATTAAAAATCTGATCCAAGAGACTAATAGACTTTATACTCAGCTTGTTTATTGTGCTTCATGCCCTCTGGTCGGAGAGCGGCTCAACAGCCAGTCTATTGTGTTTCTCTTGGCAGCCCTTGTTTGATATACCAGTTTTTTTTTTTTTTTCCAACATACCATGCCAGTGCATTGCCTGGCACCCAGATGCCCACTCAGCCGGACGGGAATGGCACTGGGAAATCATCCAGCTGTGCAAGTTAAACTGTCAGGAAGGGTGGCAGAGTGGTGGTCTGAGCAATGGATCGTACCATGCCAGACAAGGGGGAGTGGGAGGAAGCTGGAAAGGAAAGGCCTGCAAAGGGCAAGCTGGGGTGTACACTGTGATGCAAGATGGATGGGTGCTTTCTGGGAAAGATAGGGTTCTGGTCAGGATACAATACCAAAGGGCAAAAATACTGCAGAGAAACCTGATCTGATAATCATTACCCTTTTTTTTTTTTGTCCCTTCAGGTTTGTTTGTGATGAGCGGGGCTATCATCTACACGGTGATGAGTCCCGAGTGGGTGCCGGAGAAAGACACCTTCGGCTTCTCCTACATCCTGGCATGGGTGGCTTTCCCTTTGGCGCTCATCAGCGGACTCATCTACGTCATCTTGAGGAAGCGGGAATGAGACCTAAATGCATCCCAGCGTTCCCAGTAACCCCCCTTCCCAACTGCAAGTGTTACCCTCCCCCCTGCTGAAGTTTAAGTTGTGAAGCCCAAATACTAAGCGGGCAGTATTGGAGGAGTAATACCAAAGAATCAACAGGCAAACCAACATAAAAACACCAATACTGTCTCGGTTTAAAGATGTATATAGTATCTATGGTTTAAAACCTATTTATAACACTTTTTACATATGTACATAGTTTTAGTGTTGCTCCGTCGATGGTTACAATGAGCTTTGTTTCAGCTGGTTGAGTGCCTCAGTCTTTGTTTGTGTCTTTGACTAATAACACAATAAACTGTTTTTTTTTGTGTTTTTTTTTCTGTAATTACCAAAGAATTAGTGAAAAAGAATTCTCACAGTATATTAACTAGATTGCATGTATAGAGATAGAACGGTTATGCAACCCTTGGGCTCGCTTCACAAACAGAGTGGGAACATCCATGGATGTAGCATAGCCACTGAAAATAGATTTGGTCCTTTTCTATTTGTTAAAAGTTTGAGTGTTTTTTTTTTTTTTCAGTATTTTTATTTTCTTAGTTTCAACAAAAGATGGTGCTATATATTTATCATTCCTATTACTGATAGCAATCATTTACGACAGTCGAACCGCTTGCCATTATTTGAAGTGAGAATCAGACAGAGGTGCCTGACTGCTTCTTTTGGGAACACGGCTGATTTCACTTTGCAGTGCCCGATTGTTTTTCTTTTTCTCTCTCTTTGTAAATCAGCTACTGTAAACAGTGAATAATTAAGTTTGAAGCTTTGCGTCGAGGAAATGGAAGTAATTTGGAATGTCAGTATTTTTCATCAGATTTTAAAAGAGTTTGATCACAGAGGAATAGGTTTGAATAAGCTTTTTTTTTTCTCTCCATTTGCCTTAATTACATCACCTGATGTTTGTGTTCACCATTACGAGAAGCCAAATTCTGTTTTTTATTTATATATCACAAAGGATTTAACACTGTGGGACTTTATATGACTAGATACCAAGTTAAAGCCATATGAGATAGTACCAGATTATAGGAGAACATGTTGAGTATGAAGAAAGGACAGTGAGGTTTGCAGTGTTGCAGTGATGATACAAATGTCTGTTTTACATACTTGAAGTTTGACATGCTGCAGCCTCTGCACACTGACATTTTGATGTTATTTTTCTCTACTGTATAAAAAGTTTATATGCTGTGCATAACAGGTCTATACGATAATACAACCTTAAACAGTCACTAAATAAAAAACAACTCTCGCATTATTCAATACCGTGTATTCCACTGTTACAAGGGACAGGTTTCGCGCTAACGCTTGACGTGCATTCTTCTAGAAGTTACACTGAGCATGAGGAAGTTTCACTGATGCCGTGCTGCCTGTTAGCTCTGAAATACCTGCGCTGCAAAAGCATGATGATGAAAACCTGATTCTAAGGCAGTCACTGACGATCGCAAATGTCCGCAACCGAAACCAAGCCGTGTAAATTCTTTAAAACGGCCGGGGTAGTCTGCCCTTACAGTATGTGTTGATGGGTCAGATGCGCAGCTTGGCCCAGTGGTTGCACTGTGCCAGTTACTCAAAGCATGCAGCTCGTGTTTCAGTGTCAACAGCGTCTCCCATGACATCAGGAATGAGAGGACTTGTTTCACACCGTAAGACAGCGTCCATCCTCCACCTGACATTTCCTGTGAGCTCTTCCTCCAGCGGAGACATGCTGTGGTGGATTAAGGTGTGTTATTTTGAGCCGCTGTGGCTTTCAACTCATCAGTGGGTTCAGTTAGAAGAGCACGTCTCTAATGACGACTGCCCTCTTTACTGTTCTTTGTAAAGCTACAGCTTTCAACTGTCAACTCTATGTTTACACCTCATCTTCCGAATGTTCTTCTATTACTAAAGCTACTTTGAGTTTAATTATTAAAGGATGTTTCTTACCACCAAGGCTGACCTGATTGTGTCTTTCAGTTGCCATCCACATGTGTAACATATCAACTTGTTTTTGGGTGAACCTCTAAGTTACGACAGTTTCAATTCAGATTCATAATTAGTCTATTCCTTCAACAAGCAGCATTTCCAAGGGAGTTTTAATCTTCTGCAATGACAGAGATTGATGAAAGAAGATTCTTGTGGCAGCCCCGAAAGGTCACTGCCCCCAGCCGCCTCCCTGTCCTGCATTCCCTTACTGGGTGAAATGAGGACACACTTTGTCTGTATGGGTGTGTTCTATAGAACTTGTAGGGAACATATCAACAGCGTATCGTTATTTTTCTTGACACCTTTTATTTCCATGTTTTTTTAGAAACACACTCGGCCTTCTGTTAAAAGGCTTTAACGTCCTATGCAATACCACCATCTGGTGGATGTACACAATAATAGCACCAACAACAATGTTGAAGAAACACTGCCTTCATGTGGTGCAAAACAAAGGCTGCATGCGAGGGAAGGATTAAGCTTCCCTTGGGTGCAACACATTCTATCTTTCTTACCAAGCGCGCTAAACCTCATCAGCTCCATATATGATCATTAAGCCTTGTCTGGAACTCAGCTTGTTTGTAAGGGCACCTCTTCCATTAATTTGCAAATGTAAAACAGAGAGGGGCGACTTCTCCTACTTATCTAATCTCTATTAATCATCAGTCAGTTTAATGGATGCTTCTCCTGCAAAGCCATTACAAATACTCTTATGGCACAACACATCATTAGTGGCAAATGCTGCATATAAATAATCCCTTTCTTAGAAATTATCTGTAGAGAAAAACAATCTGAAATAAAAATACAAATTTTAATGTGCTACAAAGTGGATTTAGAATCTTTATCTGATGGAGAATAGTCAATTTGATTTACAAACAACGCTGCAGACTGTGAAGCCAAAGTGTCATCTTTAAGGCTAGTACAGTGTTAAATTGTTTTTAAAAATTAGCTTAGAAGGTATTTGCTTGAATAAACTATTTAAGGTAAGCAGATTTGTGAATGCACTTATGCTGAGAGGTGCGAAGTTCTGCACACAGACAACAGGAAGTGAGACACTGGAGACCTCCAGTGGGTGAAAGGGGAAAAACCTAGCAGTTAGAAATTTAATTTTTAATACCAAAGATATCAGATCATCTATTATTTTTACTCTTTCATATGAAACAGAGTTTTAAGACCGCCAAACGCAATACATCAGAAATGTAGTTTATGTGTCTCTGTTTTTTTTTTCAAGTTTTGACCCCTAAATGCAGCCTTTGTGTGCATGTATGGAGAGAAAAGCAGTTTTCCTAAGCGTAAATATAATGACTTCAAATGCATGATGAGACAAAGCGTGGAGCCATTAAACAATTTTGGGTGAACCATCCCAGGTTTGCCATCTTAGCCTATTTTGTTCACCAGGTTTTTGTCAGTTTAATGAACAACAAACCATTTCTACCAACACGGTCCATTATCTGCTCAATAACCTGAACTATGTCCCGGTGCATGGGTTTAAAAAAGCAAAAAAACAGGCTGAAAAAAAACAGAGTAATTGTGCCAATAGCGACTGACGGATACGCATTATTAACTCTGCGCTTTATGGGTGTCTGGGGGTTCCACGCATCATTGTTTCGCCTTCACAGGGTCAAGGACAAGCTTTTGAAATAATCACTTTTCCCATTAATATCTTTAAATTCTCCCCATCTTGTCCCATTATACCCAATGTCACTATCACATCCTGCACTCACACGCAAACCCCCCATTTTTTTTTTAACTTTCAGTCGACCGGGAGATAATGCTTTCTAATTTTCTGGAACACAATGAAGGGGATATAGACAGAAGGTCCACCTTAATCTATCACAGCTCCTTCAAGGGTGCAGGGGTGTGCGGTGACAGGCACAAAATCACAGAGCCGGTGGGGAGGAGGGCAACAGACGCAATTAAGGTTCATGAAATGCAAATGGATTTTTAGGGGGAGGGGATGGGGAGAGGGGGGCCTCGTCTCCGTAAGCTTTGCTGCCATCTGCTTGCCATCACCACCAGTGGAAGAACCTCTGGGTCTTGTAATTTGTAGCTTCAATAATCTTTGCCCCAGTTGGTGAGGAAAGCAGGAGATGAGACCGAGTGAGTAGCAAACACGCAGCTGGATGAGATTAGAATCAGAGAAGCTGGCCTGCTCGCACTTAAACACTGGCACAAGCATGTGAAGATCTGCACTGGATGTGCAGGAACACAAATTAGCTCACAATACTTCTGGTTCTCCATCAAAGATTCCAAATTTAAGATACACCTTAGCTCAGTAGGTCCAAAAATCCCAGAGGATGACTGGAGGTTATTTAGGAGTATGGTGTTTAGCTGCGGGGGGTTCTTCCGTAACCCCAAGAGCAGACTCAGGCCTCAAATCTCCCCCGGAGCGATGTTTGAATGGGTCAAAGTGGACACAGTGGGTTCTTTTTCCCTTTCCTCAACAGACCTGCTTGTCATTTGTCAAGTTGAAATGCTGGACCGTATTGAGCCTATAGACCCGACATTTTTTTTAAACCCACCATACCAACCTATTCTTTAGGTCAGGTCTGAGTCAGGGTCGTCACTACACACGGCTGACCCCTGATCCTGCAGATGTCCATCATGCTCAATATATAAAGAAAGGATTGGCAGCTGATGTGGTGAATGACTAAATCAACTTCGGCCGCCGCCATACATCAAAATCACTCACGCCAACATGAACTCGCACTGAGGACCGTATCATTTTATCAAGAAGAAAAGCACAAAAAATAAGCGACAAGAGGCACAATCACATTGGCCCCGTCTTTGCGGTAGATTTAGAGCAGACAACAATAAGGAGCTGTGAAGATTCAGTAACATGTTTACCCCAACATCTGTGAATGTATCTTCGGCAGCTGGGGAATATCAGCGTATAAACCCGAGGCGCTTGAAACACACATAAAAACACGAGTTTGAACGACTTCAGTCCTGGGCAACATGGTGGCGCACGACACAGAGAGTTGTGACGCTAGGTTTTGAGATCAGGGCATGCTCGCTAAAATGGGCAGAGCGGGGATTTGACAGCTCTATTTTCAGCAAATAACACCGCCGATATGCCACTGTGATAATGTTCCATGTACACGTGTCACAAAGCACTAAGCAAGAGAGTACAATTTAAAGACGTGTAAGAGAAAGTGTGTGGCATTAAGCATAGGCTGCTACATAACAGGGAAACCAAATACAGTTTCAGAAGGTTTAGAGAGACTACAAAAAGCACAACGCTGTATAATGTTTCAGTGTAAGTCATAAGCTTTGTTTCTTAACTGGACACGCAGACAGCACACCATGCCTTTGGGCTATTAAGTAAAGCACGTTTAAGTAGAGCATATGCTTGCAAAGGGTATCCTAAGTTCAACACCACAGTGATTTTGCAGCTTTGAAAGGCGTTTTCATGACTTCTAATTATGATATCGCTTTCCTTTAAAATAACCGAGCAGATCTGGACCCATTCTTTGCACAGATATAAAAGAATAGAGATTCAGACCTGAAGGCAAATTAAACTATGATTAGTAAAGCTAATTAGTCAGACTCTTTCCAAGCCCTGGCGCATCCTGAAGTAACCATTCATGAAGATGGAAGAGGGACAGGGTGATTAGTTGAGCAAAGATGAATGCTGTAATCTTCTCTCAATGGAGTTCCTGCCATGGTGCATCAGGAGATAGCACGCCTGGGCTGATAGCAAAGAGACTTTAAAGCCATAAGTGCTCATGTAACTGTGAAGCTGTGGAATCCCAGGACAAAGCAGCGAGGCAGGGGGGAAGATAAGTTGGGACACAGTGGCATGAACAGACAGCAAGTGCCAGACTATCTTTGAACACGCATGGAAACAGAGCAAGTAAAAACATATATAATGCTGTTTATGCACACAGTGGAGAAAGATCAAGTTCAAAAGTCAATGGGAAAACAATTAAATATATCAAATCCAATCAGATATGACAGGTACTCACCAAATAATTATTTACTGGTTGTACAGTTCTTCTCTGCTGCACTTTTTGGGGGAAATGTAACTCCTTTCAGGTAAGTTATGCAGCTTATTCTACAAGTTCTTTTTACTTTAATTTAATACATTTGTATACATTGTTTAGATTAATTCAGATATGAGAACAACTTAATTAGGTTTATGCAAAACCTTTTCCTGACAGCGGGTTTAGCTATGATTTTTTTTGGTATGGGAACAACAGTCACATCTTGGTTTGAAATACATACATTTGCAAGGTGTGATGGTTTACAGTGTGGAGAAAGAAATTAAACCAAGCTGGATCCAGCACATCAGGGATGGCATCTGATACCAAATCAAAGAAATGTGTTCTTCTTTTACAGTGTTGGCCTCTTTTCTTTGTCTTGGTCAGACCTTACCTCTGAAGTTGACCTGAAAGCACCTCTGATAGTTTGAAAGATATTTCCCGCATGCCCTTTCACAGCTGCAAAAATTATCTACATCCCAGACATTTTTCCAGTTTCCTAGAAATTTTCATTGGACTTCGATGTGATTTCCATATGTGCACCTGCTCCTTACAACTGCGGTAAGGGCAATGCATACCACATATGGTTCCACCACCCATGGCATATTCCTACAGAGTATATATATAAATAAATATGCACATAGCATATAGATATGCATGTGCATATGAAGATGTGTGCATGTGTGTGCAAGGTTTCAGTGTTAAAATTCTGGCCTGAACTTTTAGTTTGCATAGACCCCTGTTGGCCCCACTCTCAGAGCTGATGTGAAACTTTTCACCTCCAGAAACACTGTTGCACTAGCACTTCATGGCTGTAAATCACATGCACAGAAACCAAAACCAGTCTGGATAATGTTCCTACTACCCCTTGCTCTAGTGGGGATTTTAGCGGTATCCCCCTGAAAACACACATAAACCACACAGCTCCTTTATGCTTTTTTTTTTTTTTTTTTGCATCCTCCCCTTAACAATCAAAGGCCATATGGC